GTACGGTATGCAAACTGTTGTGATTTCCTACATTGAAAAATGATGCCATCTTGTTTAAATGCTTTGTGTTACTTTCGTCTAATAGTTTAAGAACACTGGAGTTGATCTTTAAATCATGGCTGCAGGTCTTACTACAGCAGCACTGCAGTCTGCTCTACAGCTTTCTTGAGCTAATAACCAAAGTAAATAACAACAGGCTGAAATTTGTTTTTATCAAAAACACAACATAAATCTTGAGTGACGGCAGTTTGTCTGTTTATCTTTTGGGCTTTATTCTACAAGCAACGATCCTCTGGTAAACTCCACCTTTCCAGACAGCTGCCCATGTTTTTACCTCCAGTCTACCTACATGGAGTTGTCAAAGTTGCCAACTTGGCCCGACGTCTCCCCTGGTGTCGGGCTGTGGAAGCAGGGGTTGTTGATGTTGCAGATAATGCCCTGGATCCAGGGCAAAGTGCCTGCCGATGGCAAGGCTTTGTTTGGAAAGTGACCTACAAGGAAAGGAAAGGAAATACCAAACACAAACAGTTCAGACCCAGGAGATTAGACCGAGATATAAAACAATAGAAACACTGTGGTGGTGGCCTGAAATACAATCTACAGGCAGTAGACTGAACTATAATCCTAGCATTACTCAAGCTGCTGTTCATTTCATTAAATGCTGTTTTTTGTATAATTGATATCAAATTATATTGTTATAGAATCTTCAACCTGATCCTGGGTTGTCTTTAAATGATAGACTGGTCTAAAGAAGACAAAAACAGGAAAGAAGAAGCATGTTCTCACAGAAGAAATGTCCAGAAAAAAACACATGAACACAAACAGAACAGAAGATTTACGGTATACAGTAAATACAAACCCCTCATATCATAATTAAAACTGGTAACATGCAAGGTTCTGTTTGTGGTTTCTTTCCAAATCTGTTACCGTCTTCTACTGTAACTTTATGTGTGTTAAGGCATTGACCAGCTGGCCTACATGCTGTTGCGTCTTGCCACGCTGTTTTGTTATGTTACCATGTCATCTCAGGTCACCTCATGCCAATGCAGAACTTCTCGAAGAAGGTCAAGAACACAGCAGTTTAGGAAAACAAATGTTCGTGCCTGGCACAGGAATCACTCTCAGTGAGCTAATCCTCTTTAGCTGGCTGGCACAAAGCCATTTTCCAGACCTGTAAGTTAAGAGTGCGTCTGAAAACACACACATTACATAATATCACTCACATTGGCTCTGTTTGTAAGGAGGGTGTGAATGACGAACTGAGATGAGGATGACGAAGAGGAACAGCGGCCAGAGGAGCTCGATGATCAGCTGGATCTGCGTAGGAGGAGAACATCGGAGCTGTTACAGGTGCATCAAATCATTTCACACATTTAATGTTCAAGCTGCGTCTCAGTTTCAGAATCAACAAACTACTCTACTCCTTTCTGTTCAAATGTGGTCACCTTGTTCCTCCTGCGGTATGTGATGTTCTTCCAGAGCAGCAGGGAGAGCTCCCTGAAAAACCCCATCGCTCCCAACAGCTACCTGACCATGATGCAAATCTGGAAAAACACAAACAAAAGTTCAGCAGGGCGTCCTAGTTGTCAAGTTGCTAGGGACACTTGCCACGTGGCTGCTGTGTCCCCACTTAGATTACAGCTGGAGACATTTATCACATTCCATCGTCCTCTCTGTCTCCCCGTTCCCTTTCTTGCCCTTATCCTTACGAAAAGCCTCCAATCAAATGATAAAAGGTTCAGCGGTGGATTACGGTTTAATACACAGACACATACAACCCTTTTACAACCCTATATGATTATTTGATGAACATAATTCTCTGTGATATCGGAAATATATTCCCACAGCAACACAACAAGCGTGGCTGAAATTGAAAGTAACATTGCTACCGGATCCACAGGATCTTCATGAGTGTGGAAGTGATTCGGTTACAAAAGATCAGATGTACAACAAAGCACTCATACGCAGGAAGTGCAAGAAGACTGTATAGAGACGGGCCGATTAAACAGGACGTATGTATGGTGTTAAGAGATAATTGTCTTCGGTCGATGCCTGCAGTCATGAGGCTGATGAACAAAACATTTCTGTAGACACATCAATGGAACAATATTAGCGCTCCCCCCTTGTGAGTTTTGGGAAGGTGGTAGCTTCAAGTCCTGTTCTATAAACTCTGTATAAATGTAAACCTTTACCTAAATTTCCTCAGTCACCATAAACGTTAACACATTGTTCCCATCCTAAATGTTTTATGAATTGGGTATCCAGCATTTGTTAACCCCCCCCCCCTGTGTTTCTACAGTAGTCCAGAATAGACAAATCAAACACAGGCTCTGTATCGGGCTTTCTGCGTTCTGCGATCTGCCACTAAATACTACATACTGGTCCTTTAAATACCAGTCACTTTGTACAGCTAACCCAATGTGTTCTTCTATTTCAATAATACATAATAATTAGTACATATTCCGTATAACACTACATGTTAAGATAACAACATATCGGCATTATTTGCCCCCACCACTAGACTGTAACATCAAAAAGAGGCAATACAAGAAACTTATTTCACCAGCAAATATTCTTAAGAACTATCACAGAAATATTATTATTATTCTATTATGATATTATTCTAGGGTAATATCGCCCACACCTACTCTGGAGGTTATTCAAATACCAGCTATTCTTTTAGGAACTAAACTTCTACATTTAAAGTGTTTTTAAAAATCCTGACTGACTTGCTCTACAGGTTTTTTTTGCCAACATATCTATGAAGGTTATTATCAGCACATTTTACATTTAAGGTGTGTTAAAGTGTTTTAAAATAGTTGCTGTCTCTTTGTATCCTGTGTAATCTCTAACATTGATTATGAATGAATAAGCTATCATTGGTGAGGGCCGCTGTGAGAAACCTTTTCCCCTGCAGAGGACACAACTCCCGAGCTTCATCATCAGAAAACATCTTCATTTGAACTTTTACATGTCGAGCTTTCACCTTAGCCACAAATATGTTGAGTAAAGTTAAAAGACCTGTATGTGGTACAACCAAAGGGCTGTTTTTTTTATATATCTTCTGCGAGTGAATGTTGTCTTAGGTGCCTGCTGTGATCTGTTCAAGACAGACAACCCCCCCACTGCTTCATCCTGAAATCCTCCTGATCCCAACAGCTTACCTAGTTCACTCTGACTTTAACATTCACGTTTGCTCTGTGAATGCCTCCAGTGTTTGGTTTCTTCCTGGTGAAAGTGCTGCTGTAAACAATCAATCTGCCTCACGATGTTGTGCCAGGTTAGAAAGCAAAGGGCCAGACTAGTTTTCCTTTGCAAATCTGTGTAACCTCGTGGTCAAACTATTTGTTTGTTATTTTATTTGTTGCTTTGCATTCATCTGTTTGCATTTAAACTCTTTGCAGATGTCATACTAATCAGATACAGGTGTGGCAGCCAATGTATATTATTTGACATTATAACCTTTTCTTCTTTTCTGTCTGTTTCATGGAGCCTTTCAGCAGCAAAACATTGGTAATTACTTAAATGTAATATATTATCAAGCTCATGTTAATGGTAGATCTTTAAAAAAAAAGCCTCATGAGATTATATTACATGAACTCACAGTTACAATTTAACTTAATAAATGAGTGTTTCAGCATTTTCATTTGGGACACAACTTATTAACAAAAAATATAAAGTCAGAATATAATAATAATATATTTAAATGCCATTAAAAGCCACAGTAACACCAGCGGACACTATCTAACACAGAAAACATCGAGCTAACAGCTAAAAGAGCTTCCTCTTCCTAGCACGTTAACCTACAGACGCTGTTAGTGGTTTAAAATCATCTTATTTTAAAACAACACATACAAACTAATGAGCGCCCAGGACTGTTAAAGCTGTAGTTAATGATTACCTTCTGTTAATGTTGCAGATAAAGTGTGTCGGCCCGCCGGTAGCTTGTCATTGACTCTCCATTTCCCCACTGTTTGTAAAGGCAGGTGCGAGCTGACTAAAGGTCCCGCCCACACGCAACGCTGATTGGTCGAGGGATACTCCAGGGGCGGGGTCATAGACGCCGGTAAAAGATCTGATTGGCTTTGGTCCCGTGTTTTGGTAACTGGAGACAGCTGATTGGTCAGGATTCAGAGCGGCGTTGTGACACAGATGGTAAGAACCGTCTTATAACAGTGTTTCACAAGCCTTTTCTATCGTTCAGTGACATATTTTATGGTTATTTTATATTATATTTAACACATACAAGAACAACTGATTAACTGTACAGTTAACCCAAATAGAGAACGTAATAGCTGCAGGAAGTTTGTGTAAAATTAGGGATTTGGATGACTTTTAAAGCAGATTATTTCCTGTCAATATTACATTAGAGATCAGTTGTTCTGATATTTTAGTGTTTTCTTCTCCTTGATACTTGACCATTGTTCCAATGCAGGATGAGGATGTTTAGCAGTGAATAAGGACTATAACTTTCTATTAAATAATAATTAATTGAAACATTTCATTTGGTTTTCTTCACATAAATGAATTGAATGATGTTATACAGGCCTACTGTGTATATTTTTGAAAGTCTTCTTACACTCCTTAAATAAAAAAAAAGCCTTACTTAGCGGGGGGTTGCGACCTCCAGGTTGGGAACCACTGCCTTATAATGATATTCACATATATAAAAGGCATTACTTTATTAGCACAAGCAGTATATGATTACATTGTATACTTCTAACTAATTAAAACAGCAGTAAAGATATTAACATTACGTCTGCAATTATTACATTAATTTCCTTCTATGAACTGTGCTATTATGAATTTGATGTACTACATGTATAGCAAAGACAACATATTTATAGAGCTGTCCAACTTCAAATATACAGAAGCTCTACGTACATAGGGATATAATTTGTTTTTTAAATTATTTCATTTAATTTAGAGCCTCTTGTACAAAGGCAACTTTGCCTCTGGCACATAATCAGTGACTTCTGTCAATAAATAAATCAAGGGGATATCTTACAGATCATTTTAATGAACATCCAAAACAAACAGCAAAGTTCTTAAAAATATATGCATCTCTCTATCAATAAGGCATTTACCTTTAATTGTGCATGATTTCTTTTCTGTCAGGCACAGTCAGGGAAGCACTGTATGAATGAACCGGAGCCTTCTGCGAAGCGTGTGACAGACACTTGTTGATATGCACGTGTGTACGTGAGGGACTGGAAGTACATCACAATGAAATACACAGACTCTGTGTACTGGTTCAATAAGGTTTCCCCTGCGAGCACGTTCAGCTCAGGCACTCTGGCAACACACCGAGCTGGAAGACCACGAACTCTACAGTTTACTCTACACCTTTCAAAAGTCCCAAAAAAATATTCAGTTTATGAATTATTGCATCCCGCCTAATGCTTGCATTGTTAAATATCAGATAAATATAAAGAGTTACCCTCTATCCCTGTCACTTTAAAATATGCTTTCACAATATTCCAATGTGCTTAACATCTTAAAAATATATAGCTAGACTAGTTTGTTGTGTTCAGTGCTGTGACAACAGCTTGTGATACGCTGTGTGATCAATTGCATAATATTTTCTGAGTTTGGCAAAAGTTCATGTAGCTTGAACACTGAGCAGTATTTTTGTCCTTTATGTAGCAGGAAGTGCTCAAAGAAACACTGGTTGCTCCTGTCCTGTTAAGAGTCGATAGGTTGAGGCTGGCATGGTCTTTAAGTGAATCTGCGCAGAGAGAGAAAAATTATAAAAGTTATAAGTTAACGGTTCAAAAATGTAACAAATTAAAGTAAAATCTAATATTTAATCTCTTCTCACCTCTCCGACAGCATTCGTCAGGATCTGGATGATTTTATCGTGCGATGTGGCGACGACACTCTGCCCGTTGATTTCAATGATGCGGTGCCCGACGCGAATGCCTCCTCTCTCTGCTATACCGCCGCGCATTAGACTGCAGATCTGCAACAGGAAGAGAGAAAGGAATTTCACAACAACACACTAGTAGTCGGACACAGACTTGAGATTATCTCATCAAAAAGTGAAGAAAATACAACAACTAACTGTGAAGACGAGACAAACCTCCCGTAAGTTTAATCGTGAGACACAGAAAATATGAATATTGACTTACGATGCCGTCCTCCACACTGAAGCCGAGCTGAAACTTGGGATCTGGCCTCCTGATGATCGCCATGGTGACTGGCGGGCAGTGGACGATGCTGAGCTTCACATACTTTTGGCTTTTTAAGTCCTGAGATAGAAAGAAAATAATGTGAATTTAGTGTATACTTTAGTGATGTGTGCTGCATTACTACCTTAAATCTCTACAAACACTTTAGTCTTCATCCTTGAGCAGACTTTAAAAGGTTTTACATGAATTATTTCTCTCTGTTTGCGCAGTGGATTGCACAACAGTTCCTTTATTCCTCTATCTATAATCTATTTAAGATTGTTTTTTTATGTTTTTTATGATGTGAACACATGATAGCAGACGCTGACTGTTGTTAGGTTGCCGTTCAGACTCATGGTCACGACCCTCTGCATGTGAAATCTGCGGCCTCACAAATTACCATAAAGTGTACAGACACAGCCTCAAAACACATGATATTGTGTCAACCACAGATAAATGCTTCAAAGCTTCTGCTCTACCTCTTAAAATATTGCATATATGTGTGAAATACTGGCTATACACAACTGAATAAATACTGATGTTGGACCTTTAAACCCCAATTAACATCCATAGTCCACATTTGATAGTCCACTATCAAATCAATACGTTTATTTGTACAATCACACTGCATGGAAACACAGCGCCATCTAGTGCATCCTAAGGGAAATACATTTGCAGTGAAACACTTGAGTGTATTGTTTGTTTACATTTAAGTGTTGTACCTGAAGCCCAATAAAGAAATTCTTCCATCCCATCATTATGACAACAACACATTAATTACTGTAGATAAAGTTTTTTTGTTAATTAAATTACTATGATTGTAAGTTTCCTTTCTTACCCGGATAATGTTCTGGCAGGTGCTGATGGGCAGACCCACCATGCTGGTGCTGTTGACGGACATGATGCGGTCACCGATGCTGAGCTCGCCGCTGCGCTCAGCCGGACCTCCGTGAAGGAGGTTGGCTACCACCACTGTGGGCAGGATGGAGCCCCAGCCCGACTCCACCACCGCCAGACCCAAGATCTCTCCGGGGGCCTTAGTGATGACTACCTGAACCACAGAGACGCAGAAATCTAAATGTTTTCATTTGGTTAACCGGTTATTTCCCTCCACAGTTGTCACGTGTTTTGGCGGCGTGTTTGACCGTCTCTCTTTCCACAACTTCCTCCTTCCAAAAACTCTGGATCAGGGTGTTTCTGTAGTTAGTATGTAAATAGTTAGTTTGAGCTTGTAAATATTTATATAGTTAGTTTGAGCTTCTCCTTTCCTTTGTAGATTTTAGTTTTTTTTACTTCAAATATAAAATGCCCCTGTAGTGAGTTTAATGTTTATAGTATGTGTATGTAAATATCCACTGCAGTGTACCAATCAGAAACAGATTTGCATTTGCACTGCAGTGATCAAACAGTTAAAACAGTAACTCAACTAATGACTACAAGAATAATGGAAATCTCATTTAAGTGCAGGGAACAACTAGCAGAACTTCCACAGAGGACCAGAGTGAATCAATGAAGGGATGGGAGTTACTGAAAAATAATAATTATATCACTGGTTCTCAAACTGTGGTGCTACGTGAGCTCCTTTTGATGGTACCTGGATTTTAAAATATATATATTTTTAACGAAATACATTTTAAAAAAAAAGTAGCTGCTATCAAAACACTACAAATTTTCAGTTTAATAATAAGTTCAGCCTTTCCTGTAATATTTTTGTTTCACTATCACCATGTACCACACATGGTGTAAAAACACTGTGTTAAACTATATTCATATATTAAGTAAAATTAAAAAAAGAACAATGGTTGCGTTGAGTCTGGGACAGCTGAACGTAGAATTCAGGACACATGCGGGTCGCTGTGGAAAAAAGTTAATTTAGACCCCTGAGAGGTGAGATGAAGATGAGAGACAACTGTTGAGGCAGAAATACACGACTGAATACTCTTTCTGTCTAGAGACTACTGAGCTGAACTTCTGACCCACATTTGGAGTAACACATGATATTTTTCAGGATGTTTCTAGAGGCTGCTCTGAAAAATCTAAAACGTGATATTGAGGAATTCTGTTCATTTAACAACGTTAACGATTTTAATTATGCATTCAGCCTCTACACAAATCCTTAATAACATCTATTAAACTGCAACCAATGACCAACGATTAGAGAACAGCTGTAGTTTGTGTTAAGACCTAAATACTTTTAATGGTGAAGACGCCCCAATCACTACACTTACGTCTCGGATGTTCTGAGAGTCAGAGAAGTGGGCCAGGTCTCCGTTGTAGAGCTCCTGACTTTCCAGGTAGTCGCTGTACTCGCCCGGCCTCAGGTCGCTGGCTTTGATGCCGTTGGCCTGAAGAAACTGCTGGTAGGCCACGCCAAACGCCTGGCCGATAGCTTGGGCTATGACCTGAGCCTGGATGGAGAGACACAGGGTGGAGGACACAGTCATTCCTCCTGGGAGGGTTTATATCTGAATCGTTGAGGCATTTGTTAAATAAATATTCTTCTAAGTCTTTGTTTTTTTTACCCTCCATTTTCATGTGAACAAATTAAAGCAAATGAGTTCAGCTGCAAAACACTCAACAGTCACACCCTGAAACTAAAACATCAACCAGAAATAGATCATCAAGTCTGATGCTCTATAAAAGGTGATCTATTTAAAAAAACCAAAACTATCTGTTACATTCATTCGCTCTCTTGCCCCCACCCATTGTAAAACCTTTCATTTAAGAGGAGTTAAGTTGGGAAAAAACTAGCAGTAGACGCAGCGGCCTCATGGCCTTCAGTATCCCACAGCTAATTAGTTTCTAAAAAGAAACTCTTCTTCCTCCTATTCAGTCTTGCCAAGAGTGGGAAACTGGGACGACAGCCAGAGCGTTTTTACATTCAGGAGAACTCGCTGGCTGTCTGGGGGAAGGAAACCAGGCCAAGCTGAAGCTGAAACTGTTGTCCGGCCGAGAAAACAGCACATTTGATCTGAGATGCAAAGCTGAGGGGAGCTAAAGATGCTAATAATGTCGTGAACTGTGAGCCAAAGGTTTGAGACAACAAATGAATTGACACGATGAAGTTTGACCACTATGAAGATCATTAAAGTCCTACTGGAGTCCAAAATATCAGAGCTAATGAGAAAAAACACTAGCATGATGTTTATTTTCTACTGGTAAGGTTTATGCGTTCAGACCCTTCGATCGACTAACTCACGTCGTCAGAGGAGAAGACGTGGCAGATCATCAAGCACTTCTTCTGAGGCCCAGAGGAGGATGAGGAGGAAGAGGGCTGGTCACTGTCCTGCCCTTTACGTTTCCTCCGTGCCATCAGGACCACGATGTTGCCGATGTCGGCAATGTAAGAGATCATCTGCAGAGCGTGATCCATCATCGCTTCCTGAGTGGAAAACGAGACACGAGGGTGTTAATGATTTTAGAAACAGACAGGAAGGTTTGGATTTCACTTTACCTTCAAGTCTCTGCTTGTTAATATACGACAAAGAAGGACAGCCACTCCTTTATTTTTTGTTTTTGTAAGTTACGTTGTTGTGCCTGGTTGGTAGAGACAACATCCCAACTCTCACTGGTGAGGCATTCAAGGACACTTGATTATCCACATTAATGTTGATCTGATTCAGAAGACAAATGTGTGCGAAATTAAACACTATGTGGCTCAAATCGTCAAGAATATTGTTTGTAATTCTTTAACTGAAATGTCATTTTCATAAAAGAGAAAAAATATTTTTTATGGTGCAATGAGGAGCAGCCAGCCATGCAGAGAGGGAGCCGACAGTAGATGACCCACTTTGACTCTCCTGACAATTCAACCACACAGTGGAGGAAAATAGACGCTACTATAACTGCAACGTTACTGCAGAGCTCTCGTATTAAATCACCATCCTGTTCTATATTAAGGGTTCCTGCTGCCACGGCTCAGCTTGAAGGTGAAAATATAAAAGTGCAATCCTCCTTTATTAAAGAAAAGTTCACTGATGTTTTTTATGTTAATCAAACCTCGACTCTAATTACAATTCAGCAGGTAGGGACACTTAATCAAGAACAAATAAACGCTGCTAATGGCAGACATTTGAGGATTCCCACATATATTTTAGTGCTTTAATTATTAGGGATGTGAATTGGTCAGATTTTATTGATTCCAATTCCAATGTCGGTTTTGCTTATTGGTATAGAGAGCTAACGGTAGCAACAGTTTGTTGTCCTTAAGGGTTTCCACTGAGCCTTCTCTTACAATGTGCAATTGTCAGAAAAACATCCCAGCATTGATGAGGAATTGATGAGCTCGGACACATATGAATTTAAAAACAGCAAAACATACCTGTGTGTCAGCAGTGAGCACTTTGATTCGCTGAGTGGAGATGAACAGATCCACCTCCGTCATCGGCTGCGACTCTCCCTCCGGAGCCTGAAAAGAAACAAACGCTGATATGAAGCCTGTACCATGAAAGTAAAAAAATATCCTAAAATCACTAGAATGAAGTCACAGTCAAAGCCGGTCTGTTCACTGTGAGCGTCTCTTATCGGAGTTCACCTTAATGCGGTCCACAGCCTCCTGAGCCTGCGCCATACGGGCGCTTGTAGACGGGTTCTTCTCTGATTTGAGCTGAGTGGATCCCAGATACTTGGCACCAAATACAACTCCATCCAACAAGTCCTCGGGGTCACACGGACCGGGCACTTCAGAGCGAAAACACATTAACATTAACACAGTTACTCGCTCTCATCTGACACAGAAACAAAAGCTGAATTTCTAATGAGATGAAAGAAGTGTGCTGGTGGCTCACCGTCTTTATATGAAGGATGATCAGCACTCTGCAATGACAGAAAGAGTAGAAATTAATGGACAGTCAAAGAAAATAGAGGAAAATATTTAAAAAAACATTCATATGTTTTATGATATTGTATCGATTCTTAAAACCATTGCGTCAACTTTTTTTGTGTTTAGACGCCCAAAACAGAAATAAAAATGAATGCTGCACAAATATTCCCTCATTTAGTCCATTTTATATGACAGAACACTGATCAGGAATCAATAAGGGAATCGATAAAGAATCGGACCGATGAGCAGAACTGATAATAGCATTGGTGTCAATACAGTTTTATTAATTCCCAATCCTAGTACATCAAGAAAATAACAAAAAAGTTCAGTAATTGATCAATTTTAAAGGTTATAGTTCTCATAATTGATCCTTTTGGTTACCTAGCAACTTAAAAAGACCAAACACTGCTGCGATCATAAACACCGACCCTGAAGCTACCTTCCTTTTCTCTGTTTTACAGCATTATTCAATAAATAAAAGTTTTGTTTTGGCTGTTTATCAGATAAAACATTGGGTTGTGGTAACTTGTGATGGTCATTATTTACTTAAATTTGACATTTTGTAGATTGATTAATCAATTAAACCAAAAAACAAACTCAAATCACATCATTATAAATGGTCAAACTTCAACATCTCTGATGATAAACTTTTAATTGACTTTATTTTAAATCTAATTTTTGTGGAGTTTTATACTGAGTAGTTTCAAACATATGTAAGTTACATAAGACTAAAATGAATAATTCAGCTAATTTAGAGTTTATAATTCACCCTCCTTTAAGCTGATTATATTAATAGTCTTCAAACCGACCTGCTCGCCCTCTGCAGCAGCCTCGTCTTCCTCCGGCGGCTCCTCGCCCAGCTTCATCCACACTGGCTCAGGATACTCGTCATCAGGCAGGGAGGCGAGGGAGTCGTCCCTGTGCCGCCGCTGTTGCCCGTTCCCGTAATGCCCCCAGAACCTCTGAGCGTCCTCCTGACTGTAGGAAACGGACACCACGGCGTCCACCTCTCCTCGGTGGGGCAGACAGGCGGGGTCGGAGGTGGCGTTGATCTCTGTGAACTGCAGCATCCCCAGCAGGTCTCTCTGGTGGCTCTCCGAGAACAGCAGCCCCGAGGTTTCGGTGCAGTCGTCCGTTATTAGGGAGGAGGGAGCGCACGCCTCCAGCTCACACCGGCTGTGGCACTGATGCTGGGTGAGGTGAGGGGCCGTTTGTCGGCTGGGGTGAGGCTCTTCGCCCATCAGCTGGAGCTGGCTGAGCAGGCTGTGGATGCGGCTGTGGTCTTCATCGCCTGGCCTGTTGTTAGCGACCTCAACCTCCTCTTCGCTGACCCTGCTCTCCACATCACGGAGCACCTCTTCCTGGTATTTCCCAGCACCCTCCGAGTCCTCAGCTCTCCCCACTTCCTCTTCCTCAGCTGCTTCATCTTCTCCCTCAAGAGCCCCGCTAGTTTTCTGGAGCGCTTCTGCAATGTTTCCCACAAGCTCCTGCTCGTTCACGTCGAGTGAAGTCACAGTGTCACTCGAAGGTAGTAACACTGGTTCACCCGGACTGGGTTTGTCCAGATCTTCAACAGAGCGGGTAAAGCTGGGGTCATCCAGGTCGTCTGCCGAGCCCACCTCACTAGAGGAGTCGGACCTCCAGTCTAACGGAGGAGGCTCGATGAGGTTGTAGGACTCCGGTTCCTCCACCTCTGAACCTGGAGCGGCCGCAGTCTGCGTGGGGACCTCGACCACAGAGGCTCCATTAACAGGGACAGGGGCAGAACACAGGGGGGGTGCAGACGCCGACGGATCAGCGGGGCAAACGTCTGAGTCCATTTTGAAAGAAAGCCTGTGTGTGAAAGTGACATTACTGTGCAGCAGGAAACTGGGTTCACTAATGAAACTACTGATCTAGAGTCTGTCTCACATAAGTGGTTGTGAAATCTCAAGTCCAATCACACAGCCCCCTTATCCTCATTGCCCCGTGACCATCAAGATAGAAAGCAGCCTGAAGCTCAAAGTACATAAAACAGCGTGTTACATTATGTGTAACCATCAAATAGACATTCAGTTGCCTTTACATACATTAATGCACCCTAGAGAGAATAAGGAACTCTTCCCACATCATTTTCCAGGAGTTATTCTACAGCACTTGCTCACAACCGGTCATATAACTTACTGGTATTGACACATTTAACTCCAGTCCAACAGTTCAAGACAAAACACACACCCAAGTTTAGCACAATCTGAAGTGAGGGGATAAAATACTATTAAAAACTCCCCAGGACAAAAATATTTGTCATTTTCAGGAATTTTGGTCATTTAAATTCCAGTTCCAAGTGGAAAAGTATCCTCTAAATGTGCAGACACACCAGACTCCATTCAAAAAACTGCTAATTTAAGCAGCATTATTAACAGGTAACAATTAAGTAACTAATGAATACTTTCACAAAAGAAGGTAGATATTCTGGTAAATTTGGCATATAAAATGAGCCACAATGCA